CGCCACGCGTCGCCACGCCACGCCACGCCACGCCTCGCCACGTCTCGCCACGCCACGCCACGCCACGCCGTGGCGTGTCGAATTTCCCCACTCATCTGATACACGGCGCCAGTGAGCGGAGGAATTTGGCAGATACCGCAACAAATGGCGTCGTGTTAGAAAAAGCTCAAAAAAGGGAGAATTCATGAATCGTAGCGAGAACTCAAATCGTACTCTGAAGTGATGAACGGACGATATATTATAAATTGAGCAGTATCTGCAAAAAATTGAAAACGAGAATTGAATATGTCAAATTTATTACATCAGTACGAGTATTTATTATTTGACGTTGATGAATATTGAATTTAAAAGAAGCTCAATAAAATGAAACACATGTCACAATATCTAGTTAATATAACACTTTTCCAACTTGGTATGTAAGTATTTAATACTATTTGAATTTTCATATTTCATGTATTCTCAAAAAGTTAATTACATACATGGAACATAACTATTTATTGTGAAGTTAAAACAATACTTTTCTCTAACCTTTCCAGCAAACAACTGACATGAAAATCCTTTCTGACATGAAAATACATTCTTCTTATTAGGCGGTCCCTTAACTATACAAAAAGTCGTGCAGACAAGATGTACTTAAGAACGTATGTTTCAATTGGTTTTTCGTCGATTTTTTTTTTTTCGAAAATATTGGGTTCATTTTCTGTTGCCGGGCACGCAAGTCATAATTAATCCGCACAACACCGAGGCACGAGCTAAAACTGTGTGCGTTGAAGCGATGAGGAGAGGGATGAGGTGAGAAGAGTATTTGAAACGCGTGCGGAAGTGTATAAGTTAGCGATTTCTTTAAGAACGTTTGTGTTTTCGAACGAAGCGGACTTTTCCACACATTTAATTAACGTTAATTCTATACGTCTATCTTTTGTCAACGGAATTAAGGAAGATCTGTATTTCTATTAATATATTTATTTTTTACAGACACGTTATAGCTTATTATTGCCTTCGATACGGTTCTTGATATACAGTGCATAACTTAGCTGGATCGACAGCTAAAAGGAAATACATGGCTAAAAGGAAATACGAAAATCGTTGAATGATGCTACGTATTCTCTTGTGAAGGTAATTATGAAAAAACTATGAGAGGGAAATATGAGAAGACAAACCGTGTCAAGTTAACATCTAGCTAATTAGTAAATCTGAATCAATACAATTAGGTAAAAAATAAAATTATGAATGTACCATGGGCGTTAACTGGTCCTAATGATCGAGTGGCGACAAAATGCCCGAAGGCCTTGGTCCGAAGTAATAAATATTTTAAACCAGTAATCAGCTGTAGTTTATCCTGAGAGTGAATTGACTGGACTTGCGTAACATGACATAAAGATGCGTGTTTCGACTGCCGGTCCTTCATAGTGGATAAGATTCAAAAGAGGATATACCGATTTAAAAATTTACAATTATGGATTTCTGAAATAAATTTTGGAACTGACACATAAAAAACTAAGGAATATTGACAAATTTACTCAAAATGACCCATTTTACATATTCCATGAACAAGTTTTTTTTAGAAGGAGCAGTCACGAAAACATAAAACTATTCTTTCTTAGTTTTATGCGGCGTCCAGGAATGTAGAAGAGGTACTTAATCATGTCCATGTAAGTTCAATATTCTATACTGAACACAAATGAGCCATTTCCAAATTTTAAAAAAAAGTATACTGTTTCCGCCCGGGATCGAACCGGGGACCTTGCGCGTGTGAGGCGCACGTGATAACCGCTACACTACGGAAACCATGCCCTTGGTATGTCAACTTTCCGTACTTGGGCAAATGTATTATGGTAGAGCTCTAATATTTTGATAGTAATCGTATCCATTTTCTGAAAATGCATAATAATGTTGAGTATTATCCACTGCCCTGCATCTTTTACCAACCCATAACAGATGGCACTCCACGATCGGAAAAAGAAGGCAAAGAAATTATGAGAACTCGCGTTTCTGTTTCGTACTTTCATTGAGGTGACAAATTCGTGTTTAAATTTCGTGACAAATGGGCCCTTTGAATTTTGTACGTTTGTCCAAAGCTGATTACAGGTTCTACTTCTTTTGGTAAAGAGAGGTTTCAATTTTTTTCATAAACACCATATTGTACACAAAGGAAGAATATGGGGAAAAAACACATTGTAATTAATCGTTTCGGCGTCAAGAAATTGTGAAGATACTCAATTTACAAGAGTCATGAAGGTTTATTTTCGAGCTAATTTAGAAGCAGTTTCTCAACTTACGCTTCCTCGCTACCCCGATTGCAAGTCAGTTCCTGTATTATATTTTATGATTTTGCCTTCTGGTGTTCTTTTGTATTGTTTCTTCTTTTTTCCTATTGAATTGCTCTGGAACAAAGTATTTGGGGCTAAAATGCGTTGGAAATTATGGCAAGGAAACTACGCAAACTCAATGTTATTGTACATAAAAGAGCAATTACTATATTCAAATATAAAATAAAACCTTCTTTATCATATGCCTGTTCTATTTGGAGAGGTGCAGAACCAACTCACCTCAAAGAAATTATAAATTATATAAAATAAACTCTTACGCTCCTTGGTTTATTTCTAATGCACAACTCCAAAAACTATATTATTCCCCACACTCTAATGGTGTGGCTCAATCCATAAAATAAGCTCTTCATTTAGTCATGTTTTGTAAAATTTGAGTGTGAAGGTTGTAATGAAATAATTTTATACTTGCAAGGTATCGAAACACAATTACAAAATATCTTTCATTCAGAATTGAATTTGGTTGACACAAAAGGAGCGGAGGAAGGTATTTAGGAGCTCACGAAATCCATACGTTCCGTGCAGTTTTTAAAAGTTTTTGACGCAAAATAAATAAATCATTCATTTCTTTCCCCACACCACCAGGTGTTTCAACAACTCAACAAAGGAAGTTGGCAGGCGCTGGCCTAGAAACTATTTACCCATCTCAAGTGAATCATTGGGCATAATCCTGAAGCAATTCACCTAAATTCCTGGCCGGCCTTTCTTTTCCGCCGGCCGGCGTCTCGTCCCAAGGCCGAGCAAAAGCCAGCAGCCGGGGCCGGGGCCGGGGCCGGGGCTCGCACCCTCGCCACTCGTCCAGGGAGAAAGGCTCCGGGGCGAGGGCCCTCCACGCCGCTTGCGTCAATGTGGTTTTACGCGGAACGGAGCGCGGGCAAGTGGGTGGGTGGTGGGTGGATTGAGTAGTTAGTGGGTGAGAGGTTAGGTAGGTGGGTGTATGGGAAGCTGGGCGAGTGGGAATGTGGATGAGGGGGAAGGTGAGCGGATGATCAACTCCGAGGGCGGCTATTTGGGGAGCGGTAGGTGGATGCGGAAGGTAGCGGCGGTATTTGGGGGCGGTAAATGGGATGGTATGTGGGGGTGGTATGTGCGGGTGGTATGTGGGGGGTGGTATGTGGAGGTGGT